GTGGGAATGTCGTTCGGGGAGCGCGTGCACTTACGCCGCCCCGTAACAGTCTGAGTTTTTTTGTTCGCAGTGTTTCCATTTTGACTAAATGATTAGTAGTTAATAAGTTTATTTCACCTTTAGTGTTCGTACACTAAACAGCTGTGTTGTGGCGTCCGACAAGCGCGTGATTGGTACTTTTTAATAGAGTTCACAGTGTCATCATCCATGCTAGACTTTCTTAGTTAACTACTGATATTCTACAATGGTTATATTTAAAACAGCCTATATCGCTCGAAGTGATATGATTGAATGCTTCTCAGTCATATCACTGACACTATTTTGTCCTTTAATTTTACTTTTCATTGCCCGTGGCACGCTTAAGAGTAACTTTATTTCGTCAGCATTTGTCTATGAAATCGAAGCGTTTTTGCTTGGCCAAATATGAATTCTAATAAGTAAAATCCACGAAGAAATTGGCCTTTGACATGCCTACGCGCGGACGCTGCTTCAAACTGGTGGTACAAAGAACAGATGTCCTAACGCACATCTATCGACTCTCAAGGCGTGCCGTGAATGCATAGAACAATCTCCCCCCAGATGTTGTTGCTGCTGACACAGTTGCCGGTTTCCAGAACTAACACGACACCTTATTCGAACAGTAATCTGTACCGTTCACGGGAGCGCCCCTGCCTTGGCAGGGGGATTGGTCTAACCTGAAAATTCCCATATGTCCGGTGGCTGCAAAGAAGGGGTTTCCACGGATCCGTTCCTACCCTCTATTGATGAAACATGAATGAAGAGGGGTCCCATGCTCCATTACGCATTTGCTATAGCAAATGTCTTGTCTTTTTAATGCCAGTATAATGTCACCTACAGGTTGGTCAGCCAAAGTGAGTGTGTTACGCGGAAGAGCATACCATCTTAAGACAATGTGCACAGGCTTCTGTTGCATTATTGCATTACGAGATAGACGATTGTCTCATGTGGTTGTGTAGGGTATGCACTTAAGGATGCAGACTGCGATAACGTCAACATCTGAGTTGATATTGATTACTATTGGTAAATATAACTGCAGTCGAATAGGTTGACGTGCTCCTTTAAGTTTCATACTATAAAGACTGGTTCTAGGCAATGGGCTTCAGAGTTCGAAGTTTAGGCATGCTCAAGATCGACATGCGACTCTCAATATCATAGTATACTTCTGCAATCTAAACGAACATCTAACTAGCGCACTTATACTAACAAAAATGTCTCCTCCACCTACTATCTGGCGTAGTTCCGGACGCTGCTGCGTCTAACTGACACAAGTCGAAAACGCGTAGAGTATAGGAGATTACTGTAGTTCATCGTCATTTAATATCGTAAAAAGTTCATCGATCTTAAGGTTTGGTGTTTAGTCTCATACAGTGGTTTAGGCGCCTGCGTGCATTTTCATGAGCTAGCTTGCTTTCGCTCCCTTTTACGTGTTCGATGCCAATTATTATTGTCTCATCAAATTATTGTCTCTAATTTCCAGTTATTTGCAATAATCTTTTATCGTAGGTCTTGATGAAAGTCGAAAAACGTAAAATTAAGGCCAAGAAACAATCAACAGAGGAGATTTCTGATATCGAGGATGTAAACAGTTCAGAATCGGATGAACCTTCTTCTTCTGAGGATGAAGGCGTTGGTCCCACTGAGTCTCGAGAGTAGGTTTCTTAAGGAATTACTATCGTCTTGCAGATTTCACAAGTACTTTTTAGCATTTCCTAGTTTTTGTACTCTTCGAGTTTGACCTGCTGTCGTAACGCCACTCTAGAACAGGTGTATTTAGTATCGTAAGATTGTTGCAAACGTGTTCTCGCATCACAACCCCGACAAAAAAGTCGCACATTGCAAGTATGCATATTGGTAGCCTATTGGCGTTGTAACTAGGTGGTTTTATTCAGCAGCAAGAGCG